ACTCATGAGAAATAGGGCTGGTCAGTGAGAGATCTCTGAGAGCTTCAAATATGCCGTCTTCTGCCCTCGATTTGTTCTTCATCTTGGACAGAAACAACTTCTAGAGGGAAAAAATTAGAACCTCAACTCAAAACAACAGCCTGAATCCAAACAGAAGAAGAGGTAGACTGAACTGTAACATTTTAACTTATTTGGTAGATTGTAGTATGATATTTTAATACATTTAAATTTTTTCAGTGGGATCAAACATATTCTACAAACAATGATCTAAACAATAAATGTTTTAAATGCTCAAAACAAAATCTCAGAGAGGCTCATATCACAGTCTACTTCGCTTTGAGACCCGAAAGCACAGAATCAGCTTTAGAAATAGGCAAGCTTCCCATGCACTTCAGGAAAAGTTTGCTTTTGTCAAATTCTTCAAATCAAAATCGTGCTGTTTAAGACCACTGTGAATGCTTTCCTACCTTCTGAAGCCACTGGAAGGATCTGTGGCAGGAATTTCCTGAGAGCAGTGAGTAGCTTAACTGTGAGAAATTTATTCAGTACTAACAGTGAAACCAACAGAAAAGACAAGGCAGTGGTATGCTGGAGATCGCTCCGACTGGCTCCTGACCCTAGAGCCGATGGTTAAATTTTATAATTTTGCCAGCAGTTGTTAAACAGCTGTTACTAAAATTATATAAGCTTGTAATTAGCGCTGAAGCTCAAAGTGGTTCACTTTAATGAGTAAAATTTGTACGAGGGTAAGAAACAGTTTAGCAGTAGATCATATATTGGGTTGAGCGACAAAAAATTTGAGAGATAGGTGAATTAGGATGTTATTCCATTTTTCACATCACAAGTTGGTGACAAGAGTTCAACAAACTCAACTAAAGCATCCTGGGAAAATCACTTGGCCATAAAGAATTTACAGTTAAGTATATTTTATTTTCTATTAATTGTGTTCTATATTCTTGCATCAGGAAAATTTATAGCCATCTTATGTACATCTGCACACATCATTTTTTTTTTTTTTTCCAGGAGAACGGCCTGTTCAACATTTACCAGTATACCACACCAGGATAGCAGTATCTCCACCATACCAAGGGGGAGAGTAGGGAAGGAGTGGAGGAAAGAGTTTAAAACCAAAGAAGGAAGTACACTGTTTTTTTCATTTGGTTTTCAGTTTGCCCTCAGCATCCAGCTGCCAAGTGTGCTCCCAAGTACGTGCCCACAGATGTTTATGCCAAAATACCTCCAGAAACACACAAACACCCCGTCCCCACCACTAAGAAGTAAAAGCACTTTACTTGAAAAAAATCAACTTTATTTTTTCTAGGTTAAAAAAAAATAGAACCAGCTATTCATTTTTGTTGTTGTTGCGAGAAAATGCTTCTTTTGGTGTTCACATCTCAATTTCTGAAAAGGTGATCTGGTTACTAAAATAACCCGTATGCGCTCATAAACCAGATCCGCATGTGACCAGCCCTTTACAAAAATTAAAGACAGTTGCCACAGCCTTTACATTCACATGTACATTTCAACATGCAGGTAACAAAGAAAGAGAAACAGGTCAAAAGCTGAAGTAAACATATGGCATCAGGAAAATGAAAACCCATCTGTATAAAATAAATACAACTTGTAATAACTGTAAGGAAAATGAAAGCACTTAATGCAACAATGGCAGGTCTGTGTGTAACTGTTTCATTACCCAGTCATGAGATAAGTTACTGTAAAATGCAGACCCCTCATGTGTAAAGAGCTTGTGCACCAGTCCTGTGTTCAACAGTTCTACACAATAAAAATAAAGCCATTCAAAATATGTGTGCCTACTTTGCAACTAGAATACACTTAAAATTTTTTTGTTCTTTCAATTGTTTTAAAAAATATTAAATGTAAAAATCCTCCAATGGAAATTTTGCAGAAAAACCCCAATTTTATCTTCCATATGGCTACAACGCCCCCTCCCCCAGCAGTTCAGCAACCCTCAGCTTATTCCCAGGGTCCAGTTCCTAATTGTTGAGGATCAATGCAAAATGATTGCAATAAAGCACCAACCAGTGATTGCTCCAGACAGCACCCGGCCCCTCTGTGATCTAGAAATGTCCAATGTCGGTGGTTTTGGTCCCAAACATATTAATCTCCACCCCCTCATATCATAAACCAGTGTACCTTCTGCTTTGGACTTGGCCTTTCACGTGAACAGACATAAGGTTCCCAGTATTACATGGCAAAAAAGTAAGACTAACCATTTTTAGTCATCCTTGTGGACCAGAGCAGACCCCCTCACGATGGTAACTCTGGAGTGAAATCCTGTGTCCTGAAGAAAATAACTCACTCTTCCTATTCGGCAGTGCAAATAACATTTCCTTATATCGAAAGAATCCAGTAAGACTGTCCATGATTAAAGACTGCTATTTCTGATTATGACCAGGTCCCACTAGTTCACAAGAGTCTTCAGGGAAGTGATTGTCAAAATGTCACTAAAGACAAACCCACAAGGAGTAACACGAACAAAGAATGAAGAGGCATTCTTAACATCAGTCCCCACAAGAGTCACATGAGGACGGTGCTCTGAGGCCTGTGTTGGGTGACTTCACATCTCATTTCCATTAAAGGCTTGCGCATCACTGCAAAACCACCAACTCTTGATTATTCGGGGATTCCTTTTCTAGCCCATGGATTATTTAGGCTTTTGTGTTCCCTCTTTCTGAAGCTGTCTTCCCAAATCTTTCACTACTCATTAACACAGTCATAAATACATAAGCAAGAGAAACTAATGAACAATTAAAATCATTGTTTTAAAAATCAGCAAGCATCTCTAGAAGAACAAAAAAGCCTGATTAAAAAAAACCCCTCAAACTCATAAATACACATTACATTTTTGGCTAACTATGATGTATCACTGGATTAATTGCCCAGCAATCCCTAGTTCCTTCACTGTGGGGAAGTCATGCTTGATTGTAAGATTAAAATCTACTTAATAATATGACAGAACTGAACTCAGAGCCCTCTTTTTGTAAAAAGCTATTTAGATTCTCAACTAACTTCTTTGCCCACCCAAAATGTCATTTTCCATTCTGTCATTTTTCTTTACCTTCCACTGGTGTATAGGTTTCTCCATCATATGTCTATATGTATCATATCTGTGTATTTCAACACCAACGACAGTTTCTCACGTGAAGAATAAACCGCCGGTGTGGTCATTTCCATATGTGCTGCACATGGCCCATGGCCCAGCAGGTAGGTGCTCTATCACTCTGATGTGTTGGGAAGAGGATCCAGAAGGGAGTTCTCACGCCCCTCTGCTGTAGGGATCTAGGCAGGTCAGCTGAGACCAAGCAGTGCTGAGACTATAAGCTACTGGTATGACACTGGCACGGTTTTATTCTCTCCCCCCTGAATAAAATGTGTATTCCCTAAACCTCCTTTCATCTCACTTTGCAAAGAAAGTACAAATTTGGAATTTTTATTCACTTCTACACAGTGGCATATTGCTGCTTCCCTGATTTGCCACAGAACGCTCTCTCCACATTCCCTAGTGCAAGCAGCTGTCCTCCAGTTACTGGTAAGGAGAGCGCGATGGATGCTCTCAGACGAACAAAAAAGAGAGAACACGCTGATTAACAATAGGAGGGGGATACGTAGATCAGTGACACATCTATTACAACTCACAAAAAATGAACTCACATATCTATTGGTATTTGTCACTCTACAGACTGTTGACATGACTCTGCACTTGAAAAGTAAAGCGTCTTACCCCATAGCTGGTTTAATGTGTACAGTATATTAACAATAGCACGTTCCTTTGGAGCACAGCGCTGGCAAAAGTGGCCCTGACCTGCGTTTACGCATGCGCGTATGCCTCTCTCACCCTGACAGAACTGGCCAGCCCTTGCTGTGGCTTGCTTTAGCGATAAGGAAAAGGCCTATCTAGCTAGGACTGTGTGTGCCATACTTGACAGTGAGCACATTATTCTCCAGATATCTGACTAACCTCTCAAGTGAACAATTTCAATTCAGCCTGGATTCTAGCAGCGTTTGCTGGACCTCAAACAGAAGCATCGTTAAGGCTTCCTATCACCATCCATGCCTCTGAAGCAAGATCAGTTTCACCTACTCACTGTCCCTGTAAAACACAGTAAAATGCTTAGGTTTCCAAAAAAAAAAAAAAAGAAAAGAAAAATTGCATCTTGTAACAACCCCTACCAAAGCACATACAATAACTGTCTTCTGCATTTTACCAGTAGTAGCATAATATGCAATGAGGTATTTCATTAACACATTATTCTCTTTCATATATGCACGGGATTAACCCAAAGATGAAGCTGCTGTGGGCTTGTATTTGGTGTTGCTTTACCTTTCCCACATAACTGGGAGAAAATTCACATCTTTTCAGTTTTTTTTTTTTTTTTTTGGTTTATTTAAAAATAGAAAACATTAGCCTCTATTTTTCTTTTCTGGCCTACTTCTCCAAATTGCCATTTGTAGGATTAGTGACAACGGGGCATCTACAACGCTCATATCACAGGAAACTGCCACTGACTTCCTAGGATCCTCAGAGCCTACAATCCCAGACCAAACACCAACTCTGTCTTAATGCTGGGAGTGCGGGTGAGGGACAGAGGCCATCCCAGCACTTTCTGAGAAGAGTCTGGTTCGACCGTGAGGTAAATCATAGTGGAGGGGAAAAAAGTATTCTCTAGAAATAGAAACTTGACTTTATCCTCTTTAAAGAAACTGTAAAGAGATTGGGAAGCCTTTTGTGCAGGTCTGATGGTTACACCACCCTGATGTGGGCAGCAACTTGAGGTGATGACAGAACACAGGTTTGGGGGTACCATGTGAGAACTTATCACCATTTTAAGCCTATGTCTGGCTCTCTTATTTACTCTTATTTTTCTAATAAAACCCCTATCTCACTTTGAACTGATCATAATGTTTCGCATTAATCTGTTCCAGCCCCCCTCCAAAATATAGTTGGTACTAACAAGCCGAAGTGGGCGGAACACAGCCTCTGAGCCGATGGGAGGCTCTTGTGGGCGCTCCGTGCAGGGGGCACCCCGGTACCCACGCAGAGAGGAGACAGCCTCTAAGAATCCCATTCACTGATTATGCTGACGTTTGTTTTCAGGCTATATTACTAATCCTTTGCTATATATGCATCTGATAAAAGTGCATTTGGTAAAAGACAATTATCAGTCTATGATATGCCTCTATATGAAAAGAGAAATCAAGTGACCCCCCCCTCATTTAAGGGAAAGCACTAGCGCATGTAAACATGATGTTGGACTGAGCTAGCCTTTTTAGGAACACATTCTAGTACCGGAACATGTCCAGTGGACACTGCTTCTCCCCCACGGGCGTGCCGTGCCAGACACCGGAGTGTCACTGTGAACCGCAGGGGAACAATTCTTGAGGGCGCCGCCCAGCTCCCCTCCAGGCTCCCAGACACACAGCCAGAGTTGGTGGAAATGAGGGCGCTCTACAGCTCTGCCCGGATAGAGACTACTAGCTAAGAGGAACAAATACAACTCTCTGAGCTGGAACTAGGTCATCAAGTACGTCTGGTGGCAACGGAGTTTCTCTCAGACGGTCTTCTTCGATGAGTTTATGATTTCGTCTTCTCCAAATGTGGTGTTTGCTTAAGTGTGTGGTAGAGTGTATCTTTTTAAAACATGAAAGGTCCTTAAAACATATTAGCAGGTCATTATATTACTGATCCTCATTTTAGTAGAGTTTTAAAATATCCCAAAGGGGGATAAATATTAATCCATCCATTGAATTTCCTTTGCTTATTTTTTTTTATATTCTGATTTGCACATGTAAAATAATGCACACTTATGAAAGTATGAACTCCTATGGTGACCTTGACAAGTCCAAGTCAATTCCTAGAACAGGCAATGGTAAAAATACTGGATGATGTTATACCACATGTAGCCTGACAAAAATGCGAAAGACTGTATGAGAAATATCCACATATTGCTGAGGGTCATCTCCCGGGAAACAGCTTCCTTATGGCCCTTGGGAGGTGGAAAAGCTCCTAAAAGACAAGACAGAAATATTCATTTACTTACTGTGGTGGTAAGGTCTCCTGGAACAAAAGTTGAATATTAGTTCACTTAGAATTGTTGTTGTTGGTTTTTGAAAGCATCTTCTGTGACTTCTCATTGTTCCTGAAGAGAGATCTCATTTGAAATACAATTTTCGAACTGCTGAGCCCTTTCCTACCTCTGAACATTTGCGTTTATTCTTCCTGCCTGAGATGCCTTTCCTCATCTCAGGGAAAGGCAACCGCATCTGCATTCTTTCGGTATCAGAAAAAATACCTTCGGAGCCATCCCCCGCAAGTCAGTCACAGTCTTCTCTACCGTTTATTTCCTTCTTAGCATTTTCCATGATCTGTAATGATCCAGGTCTATCTTTTCTTTTTTCTACAGACTTGTTTACTCTCTGTCTCCTTCTGGAATTTAAGCTGCATGAGAGTAGGCACTCTGGCTGCCTTGCTTCCATTGTAACCTTAGAGAGTTCTACAGTGGCTAAGACACAAGATGTGTGAAATTGAATATGTATATATATATAAAGATTTTATTTATTTGACAGCAGGAGAGAGAGAGAGAGAGAGCACAAGCAAGGGGACCAGTAGAGGGAGAGAGAGAAGCAGACTGCAGACTGAGCAGGGAGCCCGATGCGGGGCTCAATTCCAGGGTCTAAAGGCAGACACTTAACCAACTGAGCCACTCAAGTGCTCTGAAATTGATTTTAAATAATTTCTGAAATGACATAATTGACACCAATTCCTCCATTTACAAGTTAAATGTTTCTGCCACAAAAAAAGCAGTGGCAAATCATTGGTATTCTTTTCAAAAGGGAATATTATTTATGAAATATTACCTTAGTAATTAAAAGGAGAAAGACAAAGTAAACAGATGTCTTCAAATTCTTTTCTAGAAGGGAAAGCTAGACCGCTTCAGGGCAATATTACCTAAGGTCATCTTGATAACACTTCAGCATTTCAAATGGTCTTTGTCCTTGCTGATAATCCCTTTGAGTAAGCTGATTCATGCCGGGATTTGCTTCTCACAAGCAATTTACAGAGAACACTTTCAAGTTTCAAGGTCTATTATACAAATAGCTTTCTTAAAAAGAGACTTCCATTATTGTTGCTACAATTTAGGCTAAATATCATAAAGCAAGAGACAAAGACTGAGAAAGAAGAAAGATCTTGCTAACTCTTAATCACCACATGCCTTCTTACACATCTATCCTATTTTATCTTCAAAGAGATTTTGAGAGTAAGACCAAGGACTGAACATGGCGGAGAGGGGCATCTTGTTGAATGAGTCTTACTAAGAATTCTAGAGACAAGCACAGCGTCCAGCCCCTGTCATATGAGTATGTACTAGCCCACAGCTCTGGGGTCAAAACAGATCCAGAAGGAATACTGTTGTGGGTAATGTGAAACAATCCTAAACACAAAAACAGAAGCATTAAAGGTAATTAACAGTATCAGCCTTTGTGCACCATTAGGCCTTCCACAGTTTGATTTAACATGAACATTAATTCTGAACCACAAAAATCGAAGTGGGAAGAAAACAGCACTTTCTGTTAATCTAAAATCTCACAGCTATCATCTGACCTAAAACAATTTTCTCTTCCCCTTTTTCTTTTCCTAATGTAGGTTCCAGAGAATAAGCCTACAACCTATGTAGTTATTTGTGAAAGTACTTTGGTAATGCCTGGCATTCTACCAACGCTAATTTCCTTCTTTCCTAACTTCCTTTCTTCCTCCCTCCCTCCTCCTCCCTTCCTATGGCTGTTTCAACGCATTGCAGTTTTCACATAAGGTAGAGAATATTAAGTACAGATAAGGGAACTTCCGGTAAATTGACTTTTTTCTCTCAAGGAAAAAAGTATAAGGTCGTATCCGTGAAAATGTAAAAAGTAAGCTTTATCCCTAATGTAAAGAAAAGGATAAGCATGTAAAAACGCAGTTCAAAATGATCTCAAATGGTATTTTTTCGATGACAGTATTATAAACAATCACATACAATGCCAAATCACAAATGTTATTTGCTATTTCATAAAACAGCCCATGTAATTGTATACATACGACTGTAGTCTTCTACATACTGTGTACTGTCTTGAATTAGTTCCACTTGTACATTTTACTCATCATGTGATCTTGCACATTGGCTGCTGAAGTAAAGGCCTGAATAAATTTAACATTAAGACTGTCCTAATGAATATTCTAAGCTGGAATTCTTAAATATAGAAATAGTTTGATTGCTCTAGGGTATCTGGAGAATGGAAAAAATGGTTATCTCCCCTAAAGTATATCTTTGGAACGATCACCAACTTCAGAAATATACGTAACAGGATACTGTGTACCTGTTTCGTAAAAATGGGATAAGAGTTCTTCTTTTTCAATAAAACGTTGGTAGAGCCAATCAGCAAGGCCATCCGTCTCCAGGGGTACATCTTTAATTGGAAAGATCCTATGAAGAGTTAGAAAAGAAGCAAAAACTACTTTAATTCAGAAATCAAAATCAATCAGAAGCACAACTTACCTTTGGTGACTGAAATGCTGAAGAAAGTTATGGAATCACCTGTGGCTTTGGCAAGGGTTCATTTCTACAGCTTCTCAGGGAATCTCTCTCTTTTTTTTTTTTTTTAAAGATTTTATTTATTTATTTGACAGAGAGAGAGAGAGCACAAGCAAGGGGAGCAGCAGGCAGAGGCAGAGGGAGAAGCAGGCTCCCCACTGAGCAAAGAGTCCGACGTGGGATTCGATTCCAGAACCCTGGCATCATGACCTGAAACGAAGGCAGCCACCCAACCAACTGAGCCACCCAGGCGTCCCTCAGGGCATCTTGGTTTTTAAAAAATTGTTGACTATACAACAGAGTCCATTCATTCATTCAAACATTTGCCAGCCTATTGTATGTTAGGTCCAGTGCCAGATGATGAGAAAATACTAATAAACTGTCCTATAGCTACAAATAATTACTGAGAAATAACTGTCTTCCCATGCTTATGGGTTTAAGAAGAAATGGTGTTCAGAATAGATGAGATTTTAAAACTGTAGTTACTGGGGTACATGAGTGGCTCAGTCCACTGGGCGTCTTGGTGTCAGGTGGGGTCAGATCTCCCAATGTGGAGAGAGAGCCCCATTGGGGTAGCATTCTGCATTCAGCAGGGAGTCTGCTTCCCTACGTGGCACATGCACCCACACACTCTCTTTCTCTCAATTAAATAAATAAATCTCTAAAAAATAAAAAACAAAATAAAATAATAAAATAAAATGCAGCTACTGTAGGACATTTAGCATAGTCAGAGCCTTGGCCGAATAATGCACCTTAGCAATGCTCTTTTGGAGGAAATGTCTGTGAACCAGACAGAATCTGCCTGAACTGGTGCCTGAATTGTATCAGAGACAGAGGTTTCCAGAGCCGGGCCGCCTCTTACTGGAGCACGAATGTGCAGATTCTGTGAATGGGTCCCGAATCACCAAGAGACGGACGGGGATGATTAGAGATACACATCCGCGGGACTCAAGGGCAGAAAAGGGCAGCTTGAGTACATACTCTGTAGTTGCTGACGCTGAAGTTTCTTTTTTGTTTTCCATTTTTGTGGGGGAGTTAATTTTATTTTAATCAACGGTATAAAGAGGCACAGTTTTAAAAGCCTGCAAAAGGTTTGTTGAAAAAATAGTGGTCCCCGTCCCACTGCCGTTGTTCCTCTCTCCCCAGAGGAACTGATTTTTACCTCTTTGAACCAAGGATTTTTATATCTATTGCCATGTTTCCTCTTCAGTTTTAGGGCCAGCCTACTGACCTCCCACTACGGTAGAGGAGGAGTAAGCACCTTCTTCCCTCTCCCACCACACAGTCATATCCTTCGCATCTTCCCAATGCAGCTGTAGGGTAATTGCAATGAGCAGAGTACTAGACATTTACATTATTATGATCATGTACCTATATTCAAAGCTAAGCCATGCAGTCAATCAACACTACCCTTCCTTTCCTGTCCAGTTTTTGTTCTCCCTAACTTGAGCAGTTACATCATTTTCTCTGTATGGGGAACTAATTCAACCATAAGCTCTTGTCTATCTAGAGTCAATTCTCTAGAGCATGTCTGCCAACTTTTTCTTAAAGGGCCAGAGAGAAAGCATTTGGACTCAGCAGACTTTATGGTACCTGTCGCCACTATTCAACTCCTCTTCGGTAAGTGTGAAAGCAGCCGTAGACCAGGTGCAAGTACGTGGGTACAGTTATGTCCAGGTGACACTGTATTTAAAAACCAGACAGTGAGCCAGACCGACCAGTCCTCTAGATCTTCTCTCAAGGCGTTTGTGTGCATCAGATATTCTTTTATTTTTATCTTCCTGAATACATTTCACCCACACTGTCGATTTGTTGCCTGTGGTTTTTCATCCTGCCGAGGCCCCTTACTCTGTCTTGGTGATTCTCCTAAAATACATTTAATGTTTCCTACATCCCATGTCTTCCTTTTTCTGTATTTACTCTACATTCTGATGGAGCATGTCCTCCAGTGGTTTCTGGAGATAAAGGGTTCTCCTGAAATCTTGCATTTCTGCCGATGTCTTTTTTTTGTCCTCATACCTGGCTAACAATTTGACTAGATAGAGGATTCAGGGTTGCAGTTCACTTTCTTCCATCTCCGTCTTTGTGTCTTCCTTTCTAGGGGATTCTTACTTAATTTCTTTCTTTCTTTCTTTCTTTTTCTTACTTAATTTCTAATCTTTTCTTTTTTCTACTGAGTTTTTGCTTCTTTTCTCATATTTTTAATTTCTAAGAGCTCTTCGAATGTTCCTTTTTCATTGTTTTACTGTTATTATTTTTGTTATAATATTACAATATTGTTGTTTTATTGTTACAGTATCTTATCTCTCTGAGAATTAGAATAGAAACTTTAAAACACGCAGGAAAGTACAGAGAGGAGGGTTAAGGAACGAGCCGGATTTCTGGCAGCTGTGCTTTTCCTGCACCATTCCTCCAAGTCACTTTCTTCTGTTTGTTTTCATGTCCATCTTTCACAGCAGAGGCCGATCAGATGACCAAGTCACCCAGTGGGTCTTTTGTCGCTGACGCACATTTACGGACAGGGGATTACACAGCAGACTGACGGCTCTCAGCACTGAGTGTGGAGCTGCACAGAGGATTATCCGGTTGGGCCATTTAAGTCAGTCTTTCCTTGTGAACTTGCCGTTGCCGCAGAAGAAGATCCTCTAGCGTCCTGCCCAGAGAGTGAAGGCCTAGTTGTTGGCTTTCTGGCCACAGATGGAGAGAGCAGGGTTGGGGTCTCAGCACCTAGTGCCATGACATCACTTAACCATGCCATTTTCATTGTGGGACCTTTGCCTCAGCTGTGCCAGGTGTCTGTGCGACCACAGAGCCTCTGGTTCCCTCTCCAGAGTAAGCCTCCAGTTCCCGCCACAGCAGGGAACAAAGAATCCCCCAGCTGTGGGATGGAGAGTAGGAGATCTGAGTTCCTCAATGGATTTCAACCAGACCCAAGTGTGACAACCCTTTCAACCTTATTTCCACGGGCACGGATCCGCCAGTTTTTCAGTTCTGTGGCGTAAGGTTGGCTCCTGGCCATCCCCCCCCCGCACCCCCCCCACCGGCTTAGGGTTCTGACTGCTCATCTGTTTCCTGACTTCCGACTTTTGTTACTATTGCTTTTCCTACTTTCCTCATCCTTGTGGGTTTACACTTTAAAGAAACCTCTTCAGTGTCATTCTATTGGAGTTCTGGAAGGGCATGCAAGTTGACATGACTCTGAGCCACCATGTTCTTTAGGAAGCTGTCCTGTTATTTCTGAAAAGTCCAAGATGATTTTTGATCTTGGGCCAGTGTCTACTACTTGGCATTCTACAATTCTACATTCTACTTGAAATATTACTATTTCAAGTTTAGGCAAAATGTGTGTCAGTCACTTAGTAAGGATTTGAAGATTATAATGAGGCATACCCATCATAAAAACATTCAACAGCTTCTACAGTTTATCGGTAGAACACAATGTCCAGACGAGTCAAGTAGTACAAAGGATTCTAAATGACCAGGATGTCCATGCTCAGACTCCTTCAAAGGCTTCTTAAAAATTACTCATGTAGCATGGTCATTTGCATAAAAAACAATCAGAAGGAACATTATTTATGAATTGCATTATAATCAGATCCCTTTCTCTTGTTATTTAAACACTTAAATATCATATTTGGGATATTTAATATTTAATATTCAAGTATCCATGGGCAGGAAAAAGAAGAGAAGAAATGAAGGAAAAGTATGGTATGGAAAAAAACTATTAAAAATCAATTTCAGGAAATCACAATTTTGATTAAAAATTTTGCTTTCAAGGGGCGCCTGGGTGGCTCAGTGGGTTAGAGCCTCTGCCTTTGGCTCAGGTCATGATCCCAGGGTCCTGGAATCGAGCCCCACACTGGACTCTCTGCTCAGCAGGAAGCCTGCTTCCTTCTCTCTCTCTGCCTACTTGTGATCTCTGTCTGTCAAATAAATAAAATCTTTAAAAAAATTTTTTTGCTTTCAAAAATTTGAAAAGGATGAAAGGTAACCAAACTATAGTTTCATTTACACAGAAAGTAAGTTTCCCAATCTGAGTCACCTTTCTATTCCCCTAACTATAGTACTATATTGCTCTATGGCAGTAATACAGAAATGTTCTGGTTTATTAAATATTTTAATGGGGTAGGAGATCCTAAGGTCCAGAAACTTCAAGTTTCAGCTTGCTACTATAAAATCCCCTACCAGAATTTTCTTTTGCTTTGAAAGAGCTAACCACAAAAAGAGGAATTAAAGAACATCACAACTTTTTTTTTTTTAAGATTTTTATTCATCTATTTGACAGACTGAGATCACAAGTAGTCAGAGAGGCAGGCAGAGAGAGAGAGGATGAAGCAGGTTCCCTGCTGAGCAGAGAGCCCAATGCAGGGCTCAATTCTAGGACCCTGAGATCATGACCCGAACCGAAGGCAGAGGCTTTAACCCACTGAGCCACCCAGGCGCCCCCATCACAACTTTTAAAGAGAAAAAATACTCGAAATGCTTACACTACATAAAATCATCCCATAGGCTAGTATTTCTTAGCCCCTTTAATGCCTACACTCCTAGGTAATTGGAAGATCTCTTTCAACTCAAAACGTTTACCTTTGCACTCTCTCCTGTTCTCATGCCTCACTACAGTGAGAGCGGGGCTCCATGGCTGACATTCCCTTCCACAAACAGTAGAGGCTTTGTTTTGGGTTTTGCTTTTTTTTGTTTGTTTGTTTAAGATTTTATTTATTTGTTTGACAGAGAGGTAGAGAGAGAGCACAAGTAAGCAGAGCAGCAGGCAGAGGGAGAGGGAGAAGCAGGCTCTCTGCCGAGCAGGGAGCCCGATGCGGGACTGGATCCCAGGATCCTGGAATCATGACCTGAGCCAAAGGCAGCCGCTTAACCAGCTGAGCCACCCAGGC